GCGTGCATGTGCAGCCATTCCCTCGTTTGACCTTTACTATTTCCCCACATCCGTCCACTCGGTTCCAAGATTCCATAGCCTACAAATACATAACTCGCTTTTGAAATTCATTAAACCGTGTCAATTCCTTTACTGCTTGGCCTCGGATGGTAAACGCCTTTGTCTCATACCTTCGTATGTGACCAAATATTCCTGACTGTGTGTGAGACCATCGAGAATGTTTGTAGTCTCCTGTCCCTTTAGAGTGAAAGTCCTGTCCTCTCCCATTTCTACCACTTCACTGTTATACCCAATTTTGGAATCTTACATACAAAACTGTCCGTGAAATAGTCCCGCTGAGGTATCCTTTAGGGGCCGTTTTATTTTTTCAGCCTGACTGTCTGTGCGGCGCATATCCTTGAGAGGATCTTCGCATATATCCATTCGGGCACCCCTTTCAAGGACCTCGCTGCTTAACACAACGAGGACTTCGTTCACCACTATTTTACTGGAGCGTTTCACCACGAGAGTCACAGTTACTCACTCACATTCATGGTTGGATTCGGTAGAGTTTTTTTGTAGAGTTTGACATGGTGATGCTGAATCGCTGATCATATCTCCACAATCATGGGAGTGGAGGTCATGACTGACACATTGTGTCAGGTGTGACGGTGTGAAGACAATGAAGTAGGTGAACTTGTAATGCTCGTCGGATATGGAATGACCGCGTTGCAAGCCTTCTCCTCATCAGGATCTTATGGTAAGATGGGGACCATGGGGCTGAGTGGTGGACCTCAACTTCTCCAGACTGAAGGCACCGGTGGTCTTTAAAGACTTCTGCTCTCCGCTGCTCTCGTTCCAGTCTCCATCGTGTCAGCAGATTTTGTATTCCTGCCTTCGTCGTGCGATTGTATCTTCAACATGCGATTTTATTTCGTGACCTCGCGATTCCAGCCGAACTCATGAAGCATATCCGTCAACGGAGATGTTAGACCTACGAATTGAGCATGTCTTCTCCAATTAATGTCTGCTTCCAACGAACACCTGAGTTCAGATCTGGTAAATGGAAGTCAAACGTCAGCCTTCGACTGATGCAAAATTGGGGATACTTCAATATCTTGAACGAGATTTATGCCTTCGTCACTACTCGATTCGATGGTGTCTCGATATGGCATCATGTTGTTACCCATGATTCATGAGGACCTAATCATACTTCATACTTTTGAAGCTTCAAACCATGAAGCCGTACGTACAAATCATCTACGACTGTAATGAGCTTAGATGTAAATACTTACTCGTAGATGATTAACGGAGTAAATCGGGTGATCTCCCTCTCTTCAACAAACTTAACTGCAATGTAATATTCTGTTCCTCGATTTAAAGGATCGTAGACTTCAAAATTGTATTAAATGAGAGTAATAAAAGGTGTATACTTAAAGGGTAACTAAAGTCTTCACTCTCGTAATCAACAAAAATTTAAAAAATTATCAACTTATTGAAAAAAATTCTGTTCCTATGTTATACTTTAAATAATTAGAACTTAAAAGTATGAATGGGTAACATGACAGATGAATTCAAATAATTGAAAGGCAATATATATATATGTCACGCGAGAATAAGTCGATTCGATGTAACCAACAAATCAATAGTAATCACAAAAATAATTCTGAATACAATGTGCCTGAAATATATCGGTCTCAATACTCAGCATTTAAACATTTGTATGTTTAAAATTTTCCTGAGTTAGAATTCAACCCTAAAACTATGCTCATCGGACAAATTTTTTTAAAAAATTATCACATTATTTATTCAAAAAACATTCTGTAGATGCATGATGTGGATTATGAAACATTGCAAAGAAAAAAAAGGTAAAGGATGTTTTGTTTGATGTACATATCAGATTGTGCTTTTTTTTATTTGTAATCAATACCAGCATAATTTTTGAAAAGCTTGCACTTACGATCATTCAATTATATATATATATTTTTATTTATTTATTTTTTAATGTAATTGAATTGAAGTTAATTTTTTTGGAGGAAAACATTTAAAATATTGTTAGAGATTAAAAAATGAAAGGTCTAAAAGAAGTGGAAATTTCTTTTGCATATTTTTGAATATCAACCACCAAGACTCTATCGATATGAATGATAAGTATTGTTTTCATATTGTAAACAACATTTATCGAAATAAAACATCAAGTACCAACTCACTGTGCTTCATGTACAACATTTCAATTGTTCATGAATAGTCTACTTCTATTGAAATTTTTTAAGAGTCAAAACTTATGGATTCCATATAGAGATGTGGAACTTTTGTTCTCAAGCTTACAAGGAAATTGCCCGTTTGGTAACTCACTGCCGAAACGTGTCCCATATGAAACTAATTGATCAACGATACTTTCATACGGCGTTCTGACCGCAAATTCAGGACTGTTGATTAGCACTCTTAGGCGACAGAGTTTCTTTCTGATAGAACATTGAAATTAGAGGTCAGGTTGCATCGAATTTTCTGCCATGAACCGTGCGAGTGATCAAAAGCGACGAGAAAGGGGAAAGCGACGACCTCGTTGCCTCATATACTTACATGTCGCCTGCAGTAGGGCTGTCTTATAATTATACCGCTTGTTCAATGACTTGGAACCTTTTTTCTGATTTATATAATCAAAGGAAAACGGAAGATCGCGGTCACAAATTTTTGCAAAACACTTTCGCAAACTGAAATCGGAGAAATCGGAAAGCACGAGAGACTCAGGCGCCAGAAATCAAAGACAACAACGTGACAGAAATGATAGCAGCCACCGCGAAAAAAAGCGTTTCTGCCAGCGGCCGAGCACTAAAACGAGGAAACGAAGCAGCGTTCATAAAGCGATTTACCATTCCTCTTCCACATTTGCAGCGAGTGCATCGGAATACGCTTTCCGAAGAATGCAGCGAGCGAAAGCGAAAGCGAAGGTGGGAAGACGTCCTTCATGTGCCAAGTCAGAAATCGCAGCATGAGTCGAGCGGCGATGCGACATGGTTAGAAGAACACGACCTGATTCATCATCGAGGCAGGGACTTCGTTGCCTGTACTGCAGAATGCAAATTACTTCGACGAATCTGGTCAAAGTTTGTTTAGTCAATTGTCAGCAGTGCGGTCTCGCATCTGGATTCGTCCATTTCTTTCCGTCCGACTTGTCAGTTTACCGGCGGTCTCTCAGTCGGTCGTCCTCCAGTGCAGTGTACTTCGCGAGTGTACCAGGTCAGTTCGTATCCTGCCAAAGACGACCGTGGTAACTGTGCACTCCGGTTAAATGTTGTTAATCGGAGGAGTCCGATTAACCGACGATCGTATTCTGCCGCTGACCCGTGGTGACGTGTACTTTCCTCTTTCCGCAGTGGCAGGCTCACTGAGGCATAACAAGAGATGGAAACCCTGCGGAAAGGCTTCAGAGAAATCAGACAAATACAGGCTGGAAACCCTAGAATTTGTGGCTAGATTGGCTAGAGGTCTACGGATTGTGTTCTAAACATCTAACTTTACTCCATACAATATATATTATATTATGGCATACTCTGCCATATTATATTTTCTTTTATTGAACCGTCCATTTATCAGAGGGTTAGTTTACGATCTTCTCCCCACAAGAGTGTAATGTAAGGCATATTCTGCTCAACAGTACATTAGGAATGTCATGCTTGCACAAATTACACTTTGTAAAGTAAGTCATTTTTGCTTCATTCGTTAATTTGCATCTTTAGCATTTAAAAATAATCCTACATGAGTTATACACATATGGGTTCAATTTGAGTTGTAATAAAAAAAATTCTACGATTTTTGTTACGAAAGTAGACTATGCGTACTGAGTGTTGTAAAAAGTCTTGGGCATGATTTGCAGAGTAAAAAATCTAGAGCATATACATGTTTGATTCGGAAATCCAAATATACTACTTCATATTTGTTCTCTAAAATAGTGCTATTATAGTAAGGAATACACATATCAGAGGGGTGTCTATACATACTCTGGATGGACACGGAGGCCTTAAATATCTCCAGCAATAGAGCTACGCAGAGAATTCACCTTATTATGCATGCATATAAATATATATGGACTGATGCGAGCATACAATATCGAATTATTTTTTTTTAAGAATATTGGAAAAGAATCAAATATATTCACAAAAAAATATTCAGCAACAATCACATAAGACGAAGCTTCAAAGATACAGCTCGATATATATGATCGGTAACTCTTAAATAGAGAAATACATATTTACCATTGCGAGTTATGGGGCCTTGCACTTCAGTTTCATCCCCGTGTACTTGATGGTATCATACAGTACTTTTATTGTACTATTTATATCCAATCATATCTATTTATATATACATCTCCGAGGTTCACTCCTCCCTTTATATCTTCGAGTGAGTCAGTTAACTCGAGCTGTAGTAGTAAGTTGTAACTCCGATGGTCTGACTTGGCTAGCGGCGAGGAGAGTCTGGCGACCGGTCGTTCAAAACCAATTGATTATAGATTCCTGACATGAATGAAACCCGAAACTTGCAACGCTACGACGAGCTCCACTCGAGCTACTGCTCCCGCGGGTAACAACGCAGCCGGTCAAGGGCGGAATAAACTAAGGCTGCAAAATTCTGACGTGGTCCGATGCTGATCCAACGGCGGAACGAAGCCAGGTGAGATTCCACGGGACCGAGTAAAAGGAAAGGCGTCGACTGCGGTGAAGGTCGTTGTCAGCAAAATTGGAAGCAGGGGGAAGGCTTTTCAGAGGAGCGACCGGCGGTCAGGGGGGGTCGGAGACCGAGAGGTAAAGCGGGAGGAAGGCCGCCCGCGAGGCAGCGAATGGGAGGAAGCCGGTCACGTTCGGAGGCCTTCTAGAAGACGAGAGGGGGACGCGACGGGCAGCAGCCGGTGGGGGTGACGGGCTGGTTGGAGGAAGGGCTGGCTGCGCGATTGGGGAGCGGACAAATTCGCGGCCGACGTCGATAAAGGCCGTGGCTGCGGCGAGAGCCTTAGACTCGACAGGCAGGCAGCGCCAATCCCTCGGCCATCGTCCGTCTCAGGAAGGAAGGAAGGAAGCCCGAGCAGCTTTAGAGCTTCGTCGCAGCGCCCGCTGGCCTTTGTCTCGTGTGTGCTTCGTGAGTGTGCATCGCTCTCACGCGCTGTCTCCCTCCTCCCCCTCCCTCTCCCTCCCTCCTCCTCCTCCCTCCCTCGCTCCGTCTCGTGGATCATGAATCGGAGAGACAGGCCGGAGGTGGAAGAAGAAGAAGATCAAGAGGAGAAGACGATGCATTGAACGAATAAACACCATATCCACACCTCGGACCGACAACCCCCCCCTGTAGACAACAACGCCCTCCCTCTCCCTCTCACTCTCTCGTCGATTCTTGCCTCGGATCGTTACGAAGCCCCCCCTCGCTCTCCACGACGATTCCTGCCTGCCTGCCTGCCCGCGTGCGTGCTTGCGTGCGCAAATGCCTGAAACGGACGCGTCCTTTCTTGTTCTCTGCTGACATCTTCTGATCCGGTGCGGAGGAGTCTTCTCGGCTGCACATCTTCCAGCGCGGTTCCATTCCGAGTCATTGCTCTGTAGTGGTCAGCAGGTGGGCACGCATTGTGGGAAGGGAGCAGAGCCTTTCTTGTCGGGCGATTGGGTGCAGGGTGATTGTGGCGATCTCAATCGGAAGGGCCGATTTGCAGTGGTCCCGCAGGCGTGGGGGCCTGGCTGGGCAGCTAGGTGGGAAGGTAGAATTTATAAGCGCCGGTTGTCTCTCGATACACGGAGGACCTGCTCACTGAAGCTATGGAGAGCAGTGTGCCGACTGCTATGTGAGCGACAGGGGCATACCTGGCTCTTGAGCCAGTGCAGGCCCTCAGCTCTATCTGCTGGTTTTCTACGCGCTGGAGCCGTCTCTGGGCAGTGGCAGTTCTCTCTTGCGAGGCGAGGGTCAGTTGCTGGGACGTGAATTCTGCGGTCTGAGCTCTTTGTCGGCCCGAAAATTTCTTGGAAGCTCTTTCTGCTCTGCATGCCGCTGCAGCTTGCTCTGAACTATGTGCTGAGACCCGGGCTCGGACTTCGGTGGGGTGCCTGCTCTGAGGCTGTCTGTCCTTCCACAGGGCGCAGCTGGCCTCGATAGACCACGACGACGGAGACCGGAACGCAGCGCAGCGCGAAATCCATCACCCCTCCCCCCTCTTCTTCAACTTCAGTAATCTGTACATATGTGTGAATACTGTCATCTAAATCAACCCATGTTACTGAGGTCCTGGTGCAGCAGACGGTGAGAATTCCTCACGGTCGTCTTCCACGCCTCCAGAGTGAGGGACCGAAGCGTTCAGCAGCAGCAGCAGCAGCAGCGCTCGCTGCAGCAGGTATCCGAGGGCGTTAAGCTGGAAGTGTTTCTGAAGAGTAGAGTAGTCGTGAGGATCGAAGCAGGAAGTCGGAAGAGAAGGAAAATCTGTGAGGTCGGCGGTTGAGGGGCCAAGGTGGGCAAGCGGAGAGAGGTGTAGCGAAGGAAGGCGTCTTCCCCCGGACTGTCAGCTGCGCTGACAGCTATCAACCCGTGAACATGCTCGAGACCAGAAATTTTGATTAGTGTTCATCATCCTTCCCCTTGTATCATACATAGTCTGCACGCGCCTATCGTCTCCCTGAAAAGGGGTGGGGGAGGGAACGCAGAGGTTTGGCCGACATTCGTCCGTGCCGTGCCCACGATAGTAAAGACACGAAGACTAGGCTGCGTTAGGATAGGTTTCGGGAAGATTGTATAGTCGATGCTTGCTTGTCTGCATCTCTTGTAAGCATATACACAAGCTCTCGCAGTTCAATCTGCGCAAACGGTGTTCCAGTATAGGAGTCGAAGATCAAGTTGGGCGATCTCGAGCTGGGCGAGTCGAGATTCCGAACACGAGGTCCGTGCTAGCTGACATTGTCGTGAAGCTCGATCTGGAGGGGAAACGAAGAAAATGCCTCCACATGTACGAAGCCCTGTGCAGATTCAGACCCCTGTGGCCGTCCCCGATGGAACTCACTTCAAAGCTACAGGCGCCACCGGAACCCATCCTCAGATGCTCAACATGGGCGGGAGGCAGGTGGGTCGGAGGAGAATATTTGTACAAATTGACACCGGAAATGTCTGTCCCATCGAGCTTGACCGAGCTGACAAAGTGGAATCTGTGAAGAAGAAAGTCCAAGAAGTTCTTGGTGTGCCGACCGAGCAGAGCGCTCTTGTATTTGGCGACCATATTCTGGAGAAGGATCTGAGTGAAGTCCGACATGACTCGCCGCTGCTTCTCACTCGAGGGCTCCGTCGCAGCTCGTCCACCCCCTGCCTCTCGCCGACTGTCAGGGACAAGGAAAAGAACAAGTCGCCGTCGATTGAGACCATGGGAAGTCGGCGATTTCTCAATGCGACTCTCAAGGGCTTGATCAAGGAGACGTCCAAGGCCATCGAGTGCGGCGTCCAGCCCGAGCTCGCGAATGGCGGCCTGGGAGGAGCCTACTACTTCCGCAACCGCAAGGGCGAACGCGCAGCCATCGTAAAACCCAACGACGAGGAGCCTTTCGCCCCGAACAACCCCAAAGGTTACGTGGGCAGAAAGCTCGGCTTCCCGGGCCTCAAGAGATCGATCCGCGTCGGCGAGACGGGCGTCCGCGAGGTCGCTGCGTATCTTCTCGATCACGACCACTTCGCGAATGTGCCCGCCACCATGATGGTCAAGGCGTCGCACCCGGTCTTCAACGTGAACGCAGCCCCTCCGGTTCGTGTGCGCCCCTCCTCTTGTACGCTTTTCTCGTTGCCATCTTGCATGCCGACTTGGCATCTCTGCCATGTTGTTCGGGAAATCTAGAGCCACGTCTCGACGACTGCCTCAAGATCGAAGCACCCGAGTGCTGAGCTGATCGTGATCGTGCATGCTGTTGTGTCATGTGCGGTTCGTTCTTGAATGGCTGGTCTCTGCGCGAGCAAGAATTTGATGGGCTGTCTGTCCTGCTGGACTTTCGTTTGGCCATGTCGATGACGAGTGGCATGTAGCCAGCCGAGTTCCGGCAATTGCCAACTTCTTCGTAGCCACCGACGTGTCCACCGCCGGCGGTGGCTATGGAGAGAGGAGCATTCGCCTGGAGTTCCCGTCCGGAGAGGTAGAATCGATCGGGCTGGATGTGGATTTGTATCTCGTGGCAGATCCGAGAGCTTGTTGAAATGCCGCCATGGCCTGACCATCACGGATTCTTACACTTCGTTGTTCTGCTGACAGACTTCCAAAGAGATTCCTCGACCTGAATATGCCGCGAGATTATGTTCCTTCCAAGAGTACGTGACCCATGACTACGACGCTTCTGAACACGGGACGTCAAGGTTTCCCGTCTCGCAAGTGCATCGGATCGGTATATTGGACGTGAGAATCATGAACACTGATCGGCATGCAGGTAACATTCTCGTGAGGAAGCTTCCACTAGACGAGTCCTTGGGAAGGATGCGACCATTTTCTGACGAGTCTGTGTGTCTGATTCCCATCGACCACGGTCTTTGCCTACCTGAATCTTTCGAAGATCCTTACTTCGAGTGGCTTCATTGGCCGCAAGCTTCCGTGCCTTTCTCAGAGGAGGAATTGCAGTATATTGCAGCCCTCGACCCTTTCAAGGATGCGGAGCTTCTGAAGAAGGAGCTTCCCACTCTCAGAGAGTCAGCCCTCCAAATTCTTGTGATATGCACCTTGTTTCTTCAGAGGGGTGCCGCAGCTGGATTGACGTTGGCCCAGATAGGAGGGATGATGAGTCGTGGAGTCTGTGGTGTGGGCGAAGAGGAGAGTGAGCTGGAGGAAGTGTTCGGTATGGCATTCGTAGTGATGATGGAAGAGGAAGGGGCTTACGATATCCCTTTCGAGGATGATCCTTGCGCAGAGTTCGAACAATTTGCGATCGACGATATCAACGATTACGATTCTTGGAGTTACGAGAGGGAAGGAGAGAGATGCAGCCCATTCCGATCTCCTGTCAGTGTGATCGGTGGAGTGAATGGGGGATTCCATTACAACTACGGCACCTCCCCTCTAGCCTCTCCGATGTCGCCTAGAGTTGGCAGTATTAGCAGAGGGAAAACATTTTCAGGAGGAGTTCCATTGATCTTGGAGGATTTGATGGAGGCTGTAGATGAAGACGTAGATGATCCGGTGTCTCCTTCTCCCGTATGCACGCCTCATAGCCGTGCCCGTAAAACCCCATCTCCTCCACCATGGGAGAAGCACCATGCCACGTCAGCCAGTATGACCGATGCATGGGACTTTTCTCACAACACCGGGGGAGCGCACACACTCAGAAGCACTAGTTTAAACATGTCGAGGCACAGGAATCCGAATGTGAATCAGGACAACAGGGCCTTGCGTGGGCCTACTTCGGCATCCGAAATGACTCGGAATCCCAATGATTTGCACAGCACAGTGGATATGCCTGAAATGAACAGCAGTCAATGGACGCGATTCTTACAGCTGTTCGAAGGTCTGCTGCCGGTTCTATTTGACAGATTCAAAGTTGTGGCTGACAAGTATCCACTGCCCACCAGACTTGGAACATCTTGCCAGTTTTGAGTGAGGTGGAGAGTTTGATGAACGGGAGGGACGGATGAATTTGTCGTAGGAGGTAAAGCTAAGCTAGTATTCCGTTCATTGTAAAGTGTTATTTTTGTATCTTACGAAGATGATTAGTTTACTTCAGTGGGGTTGAAGCAAAATTGCCCCAGCATTTGTTGTAGAGTTATATAATCACGAAAGCAGCCAGTGGGTTGTGGACCCTGAGCTGATGGTTTTCTCAAATTGGAACATCGATATTTTTTTTGGCTCTACGTGAGTTCGAAGGTATGTACTTTTGGATCTGTATTGCATTACGCAAGGTGTTGCTGACGTTTGCTTTACTCACGCGGAACTTTTGACTGGACTGTGCCTTCCGGTGACATAGGTTGTGACTTTAGGAGACGCTTCCCAAGCTGCATAAATTTTAGTCACATGCACATCAAAGTTAATGAGAGAAATATCACAGTGGTATATCAAATATTGCAGTGATGGTGGTATCTGAAGTATGGATCTCATTGTTCGGTTTGGTAATGAGCAATGGACAGTTTCTTGCTTCCTTCTGGTAGTAGAAAGGGGCTGTTCGCAGCGGCGACGTTGTATATCCTGTATCTTTTCATTGTAAAATTGCAGTGTTCTTAGATCCTTCTTAATTCATTCACTTGCCGATAATCAAGAAATGTGAGTGTCGCGCAGTTTCGAATAGTCCAGCAAAGAACAGTGTAGTAGCAGCGGTGTACACATGAAAGGAGGTAGTGGTTCTATTGGTTGTCATTGTATACACACCTTTTTCGTTGTTGGGTGCAGGGAGGACAGGCAATCACTGAACGAAATCATCGGTATCTGTAGCCTCCGGTACTGCAGATAGTGGGGGCTGGTAAGTTTCCCTGTATGTGACACATTAGATCTGGGGAGGTGTAGTCAAACCAAGAAGGAAAGGTTTGGACCTTTTCATTTCTCGCATAAGTTGTAATAATCCGCTACCAGATGCTTAGTTGTTGTGTAGCCATATTTGCTGTCATGTGATTTGTGTCGGAAATTCGAGGTTAGATGTTATCTGTTTTAGCTCTTTGTTGTTGTTTAAGATGGAAAGGAGACGAAATTCTGCATATCGCAGATGTGATTGTTATGGGAAGAAAAGAGACGGTAGTAAATGAAGTGGGTTAGACAATGTCTTCAACTGTTGTTGCCACATATAATTATTCTTCAGGGCCGTAGCATGGAAGGAAATTTACCCTTGGTATAGTGTGGAATTATGAATAGTGAAAATAACGAAGGAATTGTGAGAAGATGAGAATAGCAAGGGAAGATTGTTACAAGGTCTTTTATATATGTCAAACTATCGGAACATGGGTCGTGTTGATCCGATTTTAATATTGATGATTCCTCGGTAATAACCAGAAATTGCTATTTGAAGACAAGCTTGTCATACACAATAGAGATAGATATGTGAAATGGGGTCTACAGTGGATAAATCGGGTGTGTACCGACCAAAGTTAAGAGTTGAAAATTTAAATTCAGTCATGACAAAGACGATGTTTGTCGCTTTGACCGTGAAATACGTGAAAAAGATGTAAAACATTTAAAGAAAAGCAAGAGGAAGTACATTTTCCGTTCACGTGTTTCTTTTGAAAGAATGTGGAATATTAATTTCAACACAGCATCGGCATTGTAAGGTTGTTCCCACTCTACTGATAAGTCCGTCTGCCGACGACGAATAACGATGAGGCAGAGGAAAACGTTTTAAGTGAAGTGTGCATATTGAATGAAATACGGGTGAAGACGATGAACTTATGATAATTAGCATTACTCTTCTTGACGAAAATGACTTTGCCAGTGCTCTTCAAAATCATACACATAGTGAAAAGATCGTATAAAGCGAAAAAACCGGCAGCAATAGTTCAACCGTAACGGTTATCGTGCATGTAAAATCAATAATACTTTAAAATAACAACAATAATGACCATTCGAAATTATCTTCTTCATGTCTGGTTGAAGAATATACGCCACAATTGAAAATTTCATATCTTGTTAGCAAGTTTATACGATATAGACGAAAACACCAGTCTTGTAATATATTCACTATCAGCTAGCAACAGTAGATTTTATATGAATCGATAAGCAGGAATGTAACATAACCACATCACATCTCAATACCTCAGATTCTACAGAAGTTATGCTAAGCATACACCAAGTACGCTAGAAGTGGCCTTCACCAATGGGTTTGAGAACAACAGTATGCTTTTTATAATCAAACAGTTCCAAAACAGTTTGATATAATTGGAGACTAGAAACTCTCATATATAAAAATATATTTCAGTTTGAATTTCAAGTTAATGAGCTCAAAACTTTATAATTAAGTTACACTTTGTTGTTTAACACCCAAACCTCTTGCACAAGAGCCAAACAAGATTGAGAAGCGCATTGTGGGCAATTAGTGCTCGAAGGACTCGAAGAATTCTAAAGCAAAAGAAATTTTCGATCATTGTCATTGTGACCAAAGCAATGGTCACAACAATGGGTAGAAATCCGTCATGGGACGCCCGTTATCCACATCGGCGGTATGCGGATCGAGGTGAGGGTCGAGGGAAGGAAGGACGAGAGCAAGAGCCTCGAATGGTGCACGGGGTGCAGTGACAGACAGGGTCGAGGAATCGAGAATTCGAGAGACGGAGAATGGAAGCCGTGGCGGGGATCGGATGCGGAAGCGCGAGCGCATCGGCAGCATGGAGGATTGGGACGGGCAGGAGTAGGGCCGTCGGAGGAGCGGGCGGTCGAGGGAGAGTGAGAGTAAGAGTGAGAGCTGCAGGGAGCAGCGGCAGCGATGTCGTGGAGTTCGAGCAAGTGCAGGGCGAGAAAGTGCGGTGGGCAGGTGATGACCCTCTGGCGAAGTTCGTGAGCGGCTTGATTGCCATCAAGCCGCTGTTCAGCTTGCTCCAGACGGGCGCCAAGAATGTTATGGTCAGGCAAGTGATGAATTGAATTGTGTTAAAATCTGAAATCTGAAATCTTCATCTCCGCCATGGAGCTCACTTTCTCTCTCTCTCTGTCTGTCTCTCGAGCTTCGTGCTTCGCGGACGACGCTGTCTGAAAGTGGTGTGGCCTCTGGGATTAGATTGCAGGACTGCTGAAAAGAGCGGCATTCCCTGGAAGGAAATGGTTGAGGAAATGCAAGCGTCGGATGTTTATGCCGAGTTGAAGACTCTCGAGAATCCCGCTCTTGTATATCCTGACTGTAAGTAAGGCTCTCGACTGCTCATGGCACCACTCTCTGTCTGATGAGATTTTCTTGAACTCGAGCTCCGCTACCTTCCGGAACAAAGCACATGCTATGGCACTACGCGAGTGACCTGACCTGAGCACGTCGACGTGCGAGCACAAGTATGAAAGTGAAGCTCAGATTTCCGATGTTCGAAAACTCTGCCCAGGCTCCGGGCTCTATTTGAAAAGCTCAAATGTCTCACTTGGCGTGTCGCATCGTTTTGGCTTCTGTGCGCAGATTACATTCAACCATTTCATGGATATAACACCGGCAACTTATCGTGGGAGGTACTCATCGTTCGTCCCACCCCCATCACTTACCGCATCTCAGGGCTGAGGCTGACTTTCCCCTGCCTGAATCCTGAAATCCAGAGAGAGAGAGAGAGAGAGAGAGAGAGAGAGAGAGAGAGAGAGAGAGAGAGAGAGAGAGAGAGAGAGAGAGAGAGAGAGAGAGAGAGAGAGAGAGAGAATGAATGCCTCACCGCGCAGTTGTTGTTGTTGGGATGGATGTGCGCTCACAGGCTGCCTGATATCCTGAAATTCCACAGAGACAGAGAGAGAGAGTTAATTTCCATGCCTCACCACGCAGTTGTTGTTGTTGTTGTTGTGGGGATGGATGTGCGCTCACAGGCTGCCTTCGATTGCGAGCCAGCAACGCGGGCCTTGTGGAAGCGAACGTTTCCGGCCTTGGACTCGTGGAAAGAAGCAGGAGAGTTGAGCCGTGGCAACTGGGCGGACGCCATCGACTCGCATCACGCCTCGTTCTCCGGCGGCTTGCCCGTCGGGGACGTGGTCGACCTGGGCTGCTCCACTGCCAACAGCTCACGCTTCCTTGCGGATCGCTTCCCCACGGCTCAGGTCACTGTGAGTGGTCCTTCTCCCCGATCCCCGCACCTGCAGTCTAGCACTGGCCTCTCGTGTGCCTTGGATCATTGATTTCCCAACAAATCCGAATCCAGCGTTTGGCTGCCTCGAGAATGCCAACATGTCTGAATCTTCTTCCCGCTGATCACGGTCACTCCCTCCCTCACTGTTTGTGAGTAAAGAAGTGAAGAAAGAGTGTGAGGCTAGTTCTGACTAGAGTTCATCAACTCTAGTGATGATTCTTTTTACGAGTGTGGACCGCACGCATCTTTTTATGAAAGCGAGCACACAGTTTGGATGGCGATAATGAGAAGCATTGGTCCATTTTTGAGCTTGGAAGGCCGAATGTTGTTAGTTTCACCGGGCCTGTTTTCTCCACTCGATGTTTTCTTTGGCTTGGTGCGGCGCTGACTGAGATCAGATGTTTTCCGTCCCAACGAGGATGGTGGGCGGATGGAATGGGCTCATTTCGAGGAAAAATTGAAAAATGATTCTGGCGTGGCTTCACCGTGCACAGTGAGCTTGTACGCGTCTCAATCTAATGATGAAACAAAAGCAGTGACCAAATTGCTTCGGTATACTTCGTCTTCGATTCTCGGTTGACGAGGATATGTTTCTTTGATTCAACGACGAAGAAACACGTGTAGTGTTTTCAGAATTTTGATCGATTCTCGCCATCCATCGGGTCACAAACGTGAAAATGCTCTGAAGGACTCCATGATTCCTGATCTGGTTGCGTCTTGCTTCAGGGACTGGATTTGTCTCCGTATTTTCTGGCTGTCGCACAACGACAAGAAAAGGATGCGATGAGGAAGAAGCCGATACGGTTCGTGCATGCCAACGCCGAGTGTACAGGCCTGCCTTCAAAATCTTTTGATGTCGTTTCTATAGCATATGTGGTGAGTAGGTCTTTCAGAGGACAACCTTGTTTGTGTCCTGATGCTCTGCAATGCACGACAAAGAAAATGACTGGTTCAAATCGATATCTCCGATAGAAGTGCTTGGGTGACATGGATGCATGTCGGATAGTCTTGAGAGCCTTAGTGTGTCAAGGGTTGCCAACAACTGCGAGCTGAACTTCGACCAGCCAAGAAGGTGCGGGCATTGACAAACTTTTCTGGTGACGTCCGCTTTATGCAGCTGCATGAGTGTCCACAGAGTGCTTCAAGGAAGATTCTAAGGGAGGCCCATCGTCTGCTAAAACCAATGGGGACGCTCGCGATCACCGATCAATCCGTAAGTTCTATGGCATGTGCACCCGAAGTTCATTATCCCGGGGTTTTAATGGTCTAAGATTCTGTCGTCGTCATCTACAAAATTCGTCGCTCACTTTTGTCCAACGATGTATACTAACTCTGTACTCTGTCCGATGCGTGCAGCCGAAGTCCAAGGCTATACAGGTCAGTCACGCTTACTCTCTGCCACTTGATGCTTCTTTGGATTTAGCTTGACGATTGCATATGACAGGGCCGGAAAGGCAGAGTCTAATCACCAATTTCCCCTTGTCTGTTACAGAAGCTGCACCCAGCTCTTTGGATCTTGATGAAATCAACAGAACCCTGGCTCGATGAGTTCTACCGTTTAGATTTGGAAGCCGAGCTGCAGGAGTGTGGTTTCACCAATTATCGCTCGGCCTTAACGAACCCTCGGCATTTCACCGCCACAGCCACGGCTGCCATGTAAATTGTCGATAGATCATTATACAAGAGGTTATGAAACCATCTCCGGACGCCTGTTTGTGGTCGCTGAGGGCCCGGTTTGCAACATCTGCGACATCTTTGTAGGTCAAAACGGAATGTATTTCAATGAGATTCAATGCCCACGATAACGCGAGTGGAGCACGAGAATATCAGACCCACTGTCGACGATTTTTTTTCTTCAAACTCCGATTATGAATGATTCCTCCAGTAGCTTCATCGGAAGACCTTCAAGTCTTGGCTCTGCATTGCTGGCTTTCAAGCTCATCGTACATGCGAGAGTGACCCGGACAGATTTCATCCCACCGTTTGCACGCCATCTGCTTGCACGCACCACTGTTCGATTCACGATAAGAATTGGGCACCAGCGGGAGCCAAGCCTGGATTAACATATTTAACACTTCCAACACGTCGCGAGAACTCAATATCTTCGTAGACCGAGTGCCAAGTCCCGTAATACGATTATTGCGGTGGCTGCCACATCGTCAAGCCCAACGAAACACAGACTTCTGTCTATCTGAATCAAATCCCCCGCACTCGGAACATACAGGATTCCATCGCGCAGTAGATCCGTGAGCGAGAGTCCTGTCCGGAATCCAGCTACGATTCGATGAGTGAATCCCCTCACCGAAGCATCAAAGCATCATCTCTCGCCTCTCAGGAGACGAGCATCAGAGCATCATATCTCGGGCCCAGGCCCCAGACGTCCATCAATTTCCCGTACAGGAGCTACTCGGAGGTCTGTGTGCCCACGTCTACGATCCGAAACGGACACCACAGGCACCCCTACGACTCGAGGGCCTGGATAGACAATTTCCGAATAGAAAATGGCGATGCTCCGAATTGAGGTCCTTCGATCGGCCGACCGACCGACCGACCGCAGAAGCACGATCCGGATCGGACGAAGCGATGGCCGAAAAGTCTTGCAGCTCGGCCGGACGTCCACGAGACAACAATAATGGAGGACGACCTGCTCACGACCGACCAACCGACCACCACCGAGTCCGGTGCCGCAAGAGGAAGAGAAGAGAAGAGCCGCTAACCACATGGCCGTCCGGCCGGCCGTCCGTCCGTCCGTCTGTCCGACGACCGTTGACTGGGCCCCAGGGGTGGGGATGTAGATGACGTAGATGATGTAGAGCCTGCGATGGTCGGAGAGAGCTCGCGGGCGTGGGGGCTATGGCGGCGTGCCAGGGCCAAAGGAGCTCTTCTGCCCTCCCTCCTCTGCTGCTGGAGGGAGGATCGACTGCTGCTCGTTCGGCCAAAGCGAAGAGGGGTGGAAGGTGGAAGGAGGAAGGAGGTGTTTAGCGCGTGCGCAGTTGTTGCAGTGTTCTGTACCACAGGAAGTCGGCCAAAAGAAGGAAAAGCTGAGATCAGCAGCGAGCGAAGAGAGAGAGTGAGAGAGAGAGAGAGTGAGGAGAGAGAGAGAGAGAGTGAAGAGAGCGGTGTTCCTGCCGTCACCACGCCACGCCACGCCACGCTTGCTCGCTCGCTCGCTCGCTCGCTCGCTGCGTCCCTTCGTCACTTGGCTTCGCTCACGCGCTCGGTCCATGCGCTTCCTTCGTCTTTCAGTCTCTCCCAGCCAAAGACATGTTGTTGTCTCGACGGCTTACAGCCAGCGCCCGCTCGAGCTGCGCCAGCAGCAGCAGCAGCAGCAGCTGTCCGACGAGTCTATCCACGAGGCGCGTCGTGGGAGTAGTAGTGTGTAGAACGAAGAGCAGCAGCAGCAGTGGTGGCAGTGGTGGCAGTAGCAAGAGGGAGCTGCAGTACTCGTGTAGAAGGAGATTTCGGTCGAAGATGGAGTTCTTTGCGCCGCAACTGCGGGACACGCGGCCTTTCCATTTTGTATCGGAGTACTACTCGGTGCCGCTTCGAGCGGCCAGGGAATCCGTCACGCCCATTTGTTTCTGGGGCCTGAAAAAGCCGCGCGTTTCCGAAGTGGTGCAGGCCGGGGATCCGATTCTGCATGAGCCAGCTCTGGAAGTGCGAATGGAAGACATCGGCAGTGCGCGCATAGAGAAAATTATCAACGATATGGTGGCCACAATGCGCGGCGCCCCTGGCGTGGGCCTCGCGGCGCCTCAAATCGGCGAACAATTGCAGGTTTGTCATTCATTCGTTCCGTGGCTCTGCAATTCGGCGTCGCCGTTGCATGCCCGCGGATTCGAGCTCGTCGGTGTTCCGTTGCATTTCGTGGTCGTGCCCTTTCTGCTCTGTGATCGAACCTATTCTTGCATACTATAAAGTGCCAGCAGATCGCCCACGAGGGCCACCTTTTTGGATCTTTTCCTGATTTCCTCCGCATCTGCCAATTGCCTAATTTCCTGCCTCGCCACTCAAAAATTGGCTCGTCCACTCAACTCTGCAGATTATTGTTCTGGAAGACACACGCGAGCTCATGAGCTATGCATCACCCGAGGAGAATGAAGCTCAGCAGCGTGCACCGTTCGACTTAATGGTAGGTGTCAGCCACTTGGCACCATCCTCTGGTCTGAGCATTGTGCATGATGCTCACCGTCGGTCTGGTGCTGTATGAGGTGACTGACTGGCATACCATTCTGTTCAAGCTTCTCATCAACGCGATTTAAATGCTCAATGAGCGAGCAGGGATTGTTGTTGATCTCTTATCTCTCGGATCTAAGTGACAGTGAATCACGTGGATTCTGATACGTCTCAAGCATATCAGTGGTTCGGAAGTGGAGAAAATTGAGAATTGACCGAAGCTTTATTATGTGCAGGTGATCATCAACCCCAAGCTGACGAGAAAGAGTGCAGCAGGCAGTGCTATCTTCTTCGAAGGATGTCTCAGGTGTGTAGCATCAAATGACCTGCCCACTCGCAGCAACAGGACCAGCGCATTACGTTGAGCTCGGTTGAGCTTAAGATCTATGTGCCTGCTCGCAGTTTACAGCAGCGTGTGGCCTGGAGAGTTCGTTCTAATTCTCCCAGACGAGTCCATTCTAAAGCAATCGCTCGTGGTTTTGTTGCAAGCAGTGTTGATGGATACCGTGCACTTGTGGAAAGAGACTTGGAAGTGGAAGTCACGGGCCTCGGCCGAGATGGTAAGCCTGTACACGTGAACGCCAGTGGGTGGAAAGCCCGAATTCTTCAGCACGAGTGTGATCACTTGATGGGCCAATTGTACGTTGACAAGATGATCCCACGCACTTTCCGAACGAAAGAAAACTTGAGACTTCCGCTGGCCGCAGGATGTCCTGAACCCGGTCCATGTAAATTATCCGCGAAGAGCATCAGGGTAGACTAATTCACGTACATCATGGTAAGAAGCAGATTGTAAATTAAGATGCGATGCTGTCATGTGAATATATAACTGTGTAGATCATATCCATCAAACATCCGGCAGTCGATGCATACTCAGGCGAGCCATGCATTGTTGCGTTGCATTAGAAGACATACAGTCGGGGTAAGTAGCGTTAGTAGGCAGTATATGGGAATATTGTACACAACGACCCGCTACGTACATTACATGGGTGATGTCTCCCATGGAGGAAAATCTTAGTCTTCCTTCTGGCTCTTCCGACTGAATAATTATCATTCATGGTATCAATCATGACGATGCTGCTGTACATTACCGACTGTCCAATGTCTGAACACAATGTCCATCTTCGCCCTTAGAGTGACTTCATGCACAGAAACTGGGTGTCTGCTATCTGCTAGTTACAACTCTGGTGAACTCTCGATTATGGTTATACCTGCATACACATGCCTCGTTACAAGCCGTAACTATTACTCTCTGTACAAATCTGCTCGAGAGCGCTTCAATTGGTCGACAGAGGTGAACAAATGGGCAAACTCCAACACCGTTTTCCTATATTCTACTGATGTCTGATGTGATGTGACAGCTGATACCAGAATGTGTCCAAAGTTTACAAATGTGGAGTAAAAAAAATTCATGCGACAGAGTAGCAAATCCTCGAACGATAACATGGAATCCGCTAACAACCACGTCAAGCAATGTCGTTACTCAAGCAGTGACTTGGAAATTGTCGTTCGTCTTTACTGTGTTCAGCACGATTCCTACAACATTGTAACCGGCTCCTTTAATATACCCTGCCACTCGATATACTCCAAAGACATTTCCCTCGACTTCCGTCTCAGATCGTGAAGACTTGATTCATCTGCTGCTGAAAGGACGGTGCCGACTGTATTGAATTACATGTGGCCCCAATGTGATCCCGCCTTCACGAAGGCCGCAGAATAGTCTCCGGCACGGTTCTAAATTGAGCTATACAGGATGCCGTAGAGTAACCCAGCAGCGTTTCTCCTCGTTACGAGATACTACTTCCTGTCAGTGCTTGAAACTTGCACAGCGAGAGCCACTTGAAGCGGCAAAACTGTGAGATATTGCATGTCACCGATTGCAGGGAGTCAAAAGCCCTTTCCAGCGTTTCAAAATCTGAACCCAAATCTCTACCGTGCCCTTCGGTGCCACGCGAACCAAAACTGAATGCTGTCCTGAAAATTCAGGGGAGCCATTGCTCGCAGATACGGACGAATCCGCCAATTACGAAGGGGTCTTCTTTCCCTTCTTGGTCGTGGGGACAACTTCTTCAGCCGTTTCTCCGGCATGCTCTTTCTCCAACTTCATTTCTGCAAGTTGACAGAGAACAAACAAAAGCTCATGAAAATCCTTCTGTGCAAAGCTTCACGAGAAATCGACTTGCAAGCCCTCACGAGCGACCTCCCATCACATCACATGACACACAAGACAGCTCTGGTTGCATCTTAGTCCTCGTACATCGAGCAACCCCCGAGCACCTGCTTCTCCACTTCCAAAATCCGAACGAAGCGCGTCCACAACTCTCCACGAGACTCACATCATCCATCACCTGAATACCCATCGACGCAAGGATGCACAACTTTCAACTCTCGGGAAGGAACGAATGTACGAAAGCTTTGTTTCTTCCACAGTCTGATACGGGCAGAGAGAGAGAGAGAGAGAGAGAGAGAGAGAGAGAGAGAGAGAGAGAGAGAGAGAGAGAGAGAGAGGGGCACAAAGAGGCTCGTCCTCCCTCCCTCCCTCCTTGGGGTCTGAGCTTGGGCAGAATCCCCGACGGTCCACTGGAGGATGTATGAACTCTGCACAAGCCTCGGATTCCGCAGCTCGCCCGATGGCTACACAGCTGGAGTGAGGCCTTGTCAATTTGCCCGCCGTCATTCACCGATTCCTCGAAAATCGCCAGTACTGCCCCGGGCTTTCGGCTAAAGAATTCTTCAGCTGGGCGTTCTAGGTCTCCGACATTAACAACAAAGCTCGAACCTTCGTACCAGGTCTGCCACGAGCTCAAAAGCACAAGGCCGACAGATCGATCGATCGCCGAACTCACTAACATAATTCAAAACAGAGGTATGAGAAGTTCTTCCGCGATGTGGAAGCATTACAGGGGACCATCGTTTGATCCAAACTCCGAAATTCGTCATACCAAGGCTTCGAAGTCGGTAAGCGCGCAGCACGTCAGGAACCAGAGCCCTATGGATGCTACGGAAGGCGGGACACGAAGAAACTGAAGCACTCACTCGATCGAATCGGGTGAGGAAAAACAAAAGCACTGGGACGTACCGTAGTTGCCTCTGTCGTTGAGTTTTGCCTGAACCACATTCAGAGCGATGAAATCCACAGCCTCTCGACCTTGAGCAAGCAACTCGGAAAGCGTCGCCTCATCGGTCACATGTCGATTGGCCTCAAATTCCTGCCGGATCTGGGCGGCCGATAACTTCAGAGCCTGCTTGTCGCCAGCAAACGCTTCTCTCCGAACTCGTAGCAAAGCGCGAAATATCGATATCGCGTCGCCTGCCCTCGACGACGCCGTCGCCATCTCTCCCGATCGCTCGCTCGCTCTTCTCTCCTGCAATGTCCTCTCGCCTTCGATTCGCACACAAGCCGCGATCCCCCACCTGCTCCAAAGTTCTTGCCCGTCCCTTCCCAATCTTCGCCTTCAGAGATCTACTCTCTTGCCCTCCCAGGGTCCGCCCAAATCTCCGTCCCTCCCTGTCCCTGCCCGATTTCGAGATCGAGGCTCTGAAGCTCTGAAGCTCTGAAGCTCTGAAACTAGAGCACGGGAGGAGCTATGCACTTCATTAACTCACATTCGTGCACATTCGACGAGAAAGACGCACGCACCCTCGCGGTCGCGGTGGAAGGTGGACCCGACGCTTCTGCTGCAAGCGCAAGCGCAAAGGTCGAAGCGAAGGCCTCTAATTTTGTTGACCCGGCTTTTAGGGGCCTTAAACCCTAATGAAGAAGGTCAGTGGGGACCACCCCACGAGCGAGCTAGCGAAGGTTCACAGATTGCTTGGCATTGTGCAGCGGAGCGTGGTGGTGGTGGCGAGGGACGAGCGAGCTCCCGAGGACGACGAGATGAGGGCCATGCCTGGCATAGCCATGGGTCCGTCGTGCCAGGCGGTGGTGAAGCTGCAGCGCGAAATCGGTCGAGCACGAATTTGCTCTGGAGTTCTGTTGGCTTGTGGCTTGCGGCCAAATTGGCAGCGGCATTCGGATTTCACTCCCTCCTCGCACGGGCTTCTCGACGCGCCAGGCTTTGAATTGTCGAGGAAAGGCAGACGTCGGAGTCAAATGCGGGCATGCGATCATGGCAGCTCCCCAAAAGACTCGAATGCGGCGGAATCGAACGCTTCATCGGCTGCTGCCGTCGAGGATGTTACCGAAGTTGCGCATGTATGATTCGCTGGTCCAGTTCCGTTCAGGTCGATTCGAAGAAGCCATGGCTGTAGTTTGCTCAAAGTACATAATTGGGCAAAATGGGCGTGGAGGGATTCGATTCGATTCGAACGCTATCTCTGCACAATGTCTGCAAATTTCATGACCTTGTCTGCGAGGAAGTGCTCGGAAGAGCCAAAATTCCTCAGCACCCTCAACGAGATTTCTGAAATTCCGTCTCTGACATGTCCCCGGCTCTAGTATGTGTAGTCGGAAACCTTCTCGAGACTCCCTGCGTCGGTGCCCTGGGACGGCACGGCGGTGGCGGTGACAGTCGTCACGTACCTCGGCGTCGTGCATGGACCTCTGGGCGTCGGAGGGCTCTCTCTGGTGGCAAGTCTTCTGCATGAACCGGACCTAGCTCCGCAAACGAAGGTGGGGGCATTCGATCCAATCATGACCATCATCATAATCATCAGTCGAAGGTCGAGTCGAGCCTCGTAATGATCTTCTTCTGCTCTTTGACATTTCTGCCCGATTGTGCCCCATTTTCCTTGCAGGCCGCATCGCTGCTATGCCTTCAGTCTCTCGAAGCTCTGGCAGCCACTTGGTTGGTGCAGTCGACGGTCCAGGAGCACGACGACGCCATTGCTGGTCGGATCCTCGAGCCACAATTCTCTCGAGTCTTGAGGAACCGAGGGTGGCTTCCGACCTCGGTCCTCTGTCTGATCGGGCTGCTGTTGGTGGTCGTCGCCACGAGCAGCACCGCAGCTTGTGCACCTAAGGTGCCACTTTTCTCTCATCAGTCTATGTCTGAACCATTTGGTTGAGGTTGCGCTGTCGTTCTTCAGAAGTTTGAACCTCCGTGCTGCTTCAGAGGAGTCGATACTAATCGTGAGAACAGCAATTGCAGCACGGCGATTCGGTGGTGGAGTTTGTCACAGCAGGTGGCATGTCTCGGACGGGCATCATCGCGGTGAGCTGTCTGATCACGCCGTATTTGGAGGAGTACATGTACCGAGGCTTTCTGTTGACATCTCTGGCAGCCTACTTCGGATGGCCGGCGGGCGTTCTGGCGAGCTCGGTCGTCTTTGTGCTTGCCCACTTGCCCTTAGCAGCGGGCGGTCAAGCCTTGGGATTATTGTTCACTGGGTGCGTGCTCGGTGTGAGTTTCGTATACACGGGCAATTTAGCAACATCTTTGGTTATCCACTCGCTTTACAATGCAACTCTTTTGCTGGCCCTGTCATCGTCGTCGAGTTGTTGAGCCACAATGACTCGATGACTCGAGCAGGCCGAGTGACTCTCTGTGTCTGTCTCGAGGATTTTCGACGGATCCCGTACCAACGACTCATCTAATGTAATGTAGTTATTGCGCCCATCTCCTGTTCGGACATGGCCCTGGAGGATCTGAAGTGAAGCTGAGGCCTTCCTTCCTTCCTTCCTTCCTGTGAGTCGATGAGCTCTCATGGCCATCGTTATTACAAGTAAAATTCCCCCGTGGGTTTTAAAGGCGTTATGGTTGCGTGTCTTTCTTCATCGAGGCTGTCGAATTGTCAAATCTTCTTCACTGGGTGGGTGGCCTGTTTTTATAGCAAATTGAGCATCGAGGACCTCGAACACCAAAGTAGCAGACCAACCGTGTATCGCCAAAGCGAGCAGTCATGAGGCTCTTCACGATGGACACGCAGGTGTCGTGAATTGCAGCAGCCCTGCGATTCAGTTCGTTGTTCGCTCGAGACCCAACGCTGCCCCTCGTGTTCAGTTCAACATTCGTTCGGTTCGTAAAGTAGGCAATGGCATGTTGTCTCCTCCTTTGATGATTCCCATCGACGACCTGTTCGAAAGGATTTGTGAGAACCGGTTAGTCAGTCGTTCATGGTAGTATGTACAAGATAGGACGGAACGAAGGGTTGGCCCAGCTCAGCTCAGCTCAGCTCAGCCATCTCAGGCGAAACCAAGAGCTGTTCACGATCGACACCTCTTCCTTGGTGCGGCGTATGCAGTGCAAGTGCTGCAGGTGCATGTGACTGTTCGCCTCTGTCACGAAACTCTTCTCACCTCCAGACTCAAGTGTTCGAATTGCCCATCTCTGGCGAACCCAACCACTCTCGAGTCACGTTCCTTGTTTTGCCCCGAAAAGCACATGTCGGTTTTTGCTTCCGGCTTGCCAGAAGAATTGGACGAACGTGGACTGCACCCAAATTGAACACTCCTAGCCTAGTACATGCTCTGCAGGCCACTCTGCCAAAGTGGGAACCAGTGCTACAAGTGCGTCCATCCTCATGGGAATTCTTGGGTGCAGGAGGAGACAATGTGTCTTTGGAGTTCTAAACTTCTGCCAGAACGATCACGGGTACTTCTTCACGCGATTCCGGTTCCGACAGTGCGGAACGAGCCTCTCACTCTCGAACTTTCGATCATGCCATCACATTGAACGACGACCTTCGTAGACTGCAGTTAACCATTTAGGCATCACTGTCGTAGTACGAGAAGCGTGGCGGTCATCTTCGCACTCTAAAGCCAGCGTCAGACGAATTCCCACCGAAAGTTTATTTACCGTGGAGAGTGAATAACAAGTCTAAAGACAGAGTCGCACAATTCGAGCCATTGCAATCTAAGGGTCCGTCTGGCGGATGTATTACCAAGCTCCTGTGGATGTCTGAAATAGTTGGCTGGTTGAGATCATATTTTCCTGTTTGGACGGAAGTGTGAATTCCGTCGAGGGAAGGGGAGGAGTGCTGTTGAAGCCTCTCTCATGTCAGCTGAAACTCGTGTTGCGATTCAGTGTCTGCTGGCTGAGTGGGTTCTCGTACAGCAAGATTTAGAAGAGAACGAGAAGGTGAAAGAATAAAGCATCTGTTGCTGCTCGCCTTCTACGCTGTTCATGATGTAGCTATGAGGGAAAGGACTGCTTGTAAGGATCAGATCAATCATGCTGTCGCTTTTATTGTGGTTCCCGGTCTCCAGGGATCAGGAATGTTTGCCTTCGCCCTTCCTCCGCGGCGTAGACGGCTGCTGGTTGGCCCCCAGGCCGGCCAATGAATTACATCGGTCCCGCAGTCAGAGGAACGATGGGTTCGTATGGGGGGGGGGGGGGGGGGGGGGGGGGGCAGCCATAGCTCGTCGCCAGGGTGGTGGTGACGACGACGACGAGCGAAAGAGTCCAATGGGAAATCTGTGTGGTAAGTGCATCGATCGATTTGATTATATGAAGGGCATCACAGCTCGATGGTCGATATGCCTTCGTCCGCCGGGAGTGAATAGTTCACAATTTTTACAGACATGTCATGGACACGACGACTGTAAGAGCTGTCACTTCATTTCTAGGGCTCGAGTACAGAGAGCGAGATTTCATTCTCAGCGCCTCTGATCAGTTGAGACGAGTACAGTACAGGAGAAAATCTGCTTCGGATTCCTGCGCTCGAGCTCACTCCGAGGATTGTCATCGTCCTCCACCGTCGCAAAGAGTCCGTGAGTGTTCGACAACGGCCCCTTTCGCGTCCGCCCAAGGCAAAGGAAGACGTGAACGCTCCCTCAATCCCCTCTCCCTCCTCGCGGCATGGAAGGAAGCTTTATAAACCTGGTCGAAGCGCCTGCTCTTCTTATCCCTGGACCCTCCACCCGTCATCACGATCGCCGCTCTCGCTCCGCTCTGTTGAATCTCCGCTTCCCGATCGTGTCATAGTGCAATAGTGTAATTAATTAGTGGAGGAGGAGTGCCCGCCCTGCGGATCTCTCCCCAGCGAAGGAAGCGAAGGAAGCCGTAGCTGCGTCGTACAGTACAGTACATTAGGGCACGGTACAACACTCTTTCTTCTTCTTCTTCTGGGCCACTGTGGTCATGTCCCCAACGCATACTCCTCCCCGGGACCAGAACACGAGGACTTCTCGACCGACGAGACAGACTGGCTGTCACCGAACCAACAACGTTCACAAGGCCCCCCCCCCCCCCCCCCCCAGCTCCAGCACACAGCGCCTCTCTCTCTCTCTCCGTGCGGGCAAGCGAATTGCAGTTCGTGTGGATGCCATGCCATGCCGTGGACGACCACGACGACCGCCATGTCGCATTTTCCCGTCGTCGTCGCGAGTCGAGCACTGGAGAGAGAGAGAGAGAGCTCCATTGGATTCTGGCGAGCTCGACGACTGTACTGGAGGAGGAGGAGGAGGCACGAGCTCCAGATAAAGTGGGGGCCGGAAAGAGCTTTGGCCGCCGCAGCAGCAGCAGCAGCAGCATGGCCAAGAGCTTCAGAGCCGAGCAGAGCACGGCAGGCAGGGCAGGGCAGGGCAGGGCAGGCTGGCGGGCAGGCAGGGGCCGAACAAATCTAGCGGTTTTCTGTTCAGTGGAAAGTCGTCCTCGTCGTCGGCCGAACAGAAAAAGGCGAAGCTTGTGTAAGAGGCCGATGAGGCCGATGGCGATGGATGCACCTAACCACTCCTTTCTATATGCGGCAGATGAGCTTCACTGTAGTCGGCCCGAAGCTTTAGCAAGTAGAAGCCTGGCCCGCAAATGAATACTATATAATAGGCATATTAAAATGCCAGCCCCCCTCTGGACGCCAGTCTGCCCTCAGGAGTACGTAGTAGGTGTTCATGAGGCCACCCCCGAGCATCTGAATCGCACAAGGACGACACAAACTGTATGTCAGTCCGCCCCGGTGTGATTAAGAGCGCCCGAGATCGTTGCGAGCCCTGCCAGCGATGCCGATCCTGCTCCGTTTTGCGTGTCATTCTTGTCGAGCTTTTGATTCCCTCTCTCGCTCGCCAAGTGTCCCCACTGCTGCTGCTGCTGCTGCTGATATACGACATGCTCTCTCTCTCTCTCTCTCCCTCTCCCTCTCCCTCTGGTTTCTACTTCCGGCAGTTGACGCTTTTCGACGCAGGCAGGCCAGTTCACCATCGCTGGGCCCGCCCTCCCTCGCTCCCTCGCCATCGCCATCGCTCCTATCTATCTGCTTGCTCTACTGCGTTGCGTTGCGTTGCGTTTCGTTGCACGGATCCATGCTCCAAGCTTCGCTCCAAGCAACTCACCGCGCCACAGCCACCGCCGTGAGCATGCATCGCGTCCGTCGCTCGCCCATCGCCGATCGATCGCTCAGCTCAGTCTCGTCTCGGATGGCGAGTTTTTGTTCATTAGCCTCTCGTAGGGCCTGGCCTGGCCTGGCCTGGCCTAGCACCGTGTTACACTTTTGGTGTCATCTGCACTACTGTCCTCGGTTTCTTATCGACGAGTTTAAGAAACTTTATCGAGAAACCGATCGAAGATCCACCTCATACCTCTTGTAGATTCTGATGGAGTACAGAATGTCCAACATACGAACGATCGTATGTATGCTCGAATTGTGGGCTCCTTCAGCGGCGATGGAGGATTGATATCCACACTTGTTGCCAGTAAGCCGCCGGGGCCAATTTCAATGTAACAAGTTGTAGGTTTGAGCAACGTCGACGCGTTTTGTGTCATCTTTAGGCTCGTCTAAATTTTGCGTGGGAATTGCTAACGCTTGCCATTGCCAAGTGTGGTTGAACAACTGTCAGCAACATTTGCAATTCTTTGCCATATCCAGGCTCGTCTACATCTATGATTCTCCAGCAATTGTGTTTGGGGGTGGATCAACCTTACGTAAGGGCTTTTTGATTCACACTTGTTAGCTTTATCCAAAAGCAATATTGCTTCTTTGTTACTCAACAATGACGAAGATACTACCTTAGATGTATTCGAGTTATATGATTAGAATACAGCTCCAAAAAATGTAATTCGAAACATGTGTTCGGTACGACCTAACGGGGTGTATATATCATGATTATAGTTTACTAAGACCAGGTTACTATTGTAGTTGCATATCTTACACATGACACTAGTTTGGAGTGGTGATTGCCTCCCTCTTGGATAGGCAGCAGAGGGGAGCATATCCAACCAAGGTCCCCCCTTTAGAGATTTTGTATATGTTACAGTAGCCATAATGTTTTATAGGATCGAACACAAATCTTATACATCCATAAGAGAGATTGAACTAGAGATTGTCCTACCGATTGACATGAATTTTTTTATTTTTTTCACATTTTCTACACTAATTTTATATCGTGTACATTGATTTTTGTGCATTTATCACTTCACAGTGCATTCCATTTGAAAGCAAGTTCAATGCGGTATGATTCTAGTTTGTTTCATTCGCATGTAGACTCATTGATGTAGATCGCGATTTTGTCTTACTTCACTTTTTGAAGCTAAAGAGACTGGCCCCATTCTACCGCTTGGTTTCGTGTATTTTTCCCATTATTCTTGAAATATAAACTGGATTTCCCCACTTTCGGTGCAAAAAGGTGCACTACAATTGGATGGATGGGTAAGGTACAAAGCATGCGGATAAATACGAACGAACATAGTTTGGCACCTGAATCCAAGAGGGATGTGGTTGGTGCCCGAGCGAGGCATGATCGTTCGGCCTGAGTGGATCGCCAACGGAAGCTTTCTTTGCCCAATTCGTTCACTGAACCTGTTCTGATCGGGGCCAACGGTTGCGAAGA